TATATATATATATAATATACATAAACATATATACATACATACATACATACATACATACATACATACATACATACATACATACATATATATATATATATACATCAGTATGGCCGCGGTTCGTTTCCGCGCGGTTCCCATGAAGCGAACCTTATTATCACCGCGGTTCAGTTCTTGCGTTTCCGGTTCTTGCGGTTCCGGTTGGCGGTTCCGACGGTTCGCTATTTATTTACTACGCAAGTGTGACTTCACAGGCTATTAGGGGGTGTTTAATATAAAGGGGAAGTTACGAATATTACTAGTACATACATATAGATACTATGATATACTAGACTATAATATAATATAATATAATATAATATAACATAATATAATATAATATAATATAATATAATATAATATAATATAATATAATATAACATAATATGGTTTCAATCTAATATGATACGAGTGTGTGTATATATATATATATACATGCAGAAACACACGTGCTAATAGATGTATGTATATGTGTGTTTATATGGATAGGGTTGCTGTATCTGCTCATCCGACGCAGGGATGCTCTAGGTCGAAAGCTCTTTGCCCTAGAGCCTGAATCGCTCCTGTTCTCGTCGCGGCCTCCTGAAGACCCTGGCATGTAAGAAGCCCTAAACCGCGGTTTAAGTTCTGGGGTTTAGGCCCCAGCGCCTGCAACGCAGGAAGCCCTAAGCCCCAAACCCAAACCGAGGCGGCCATGAGGCTGGAGAAGCGCAACTCATGGAGCCCCTCTAAAGGCCCGGGCCAGCAAGAGCTTGGTGCTTTCAGAGGCTGCTTCTGGGATCATGACGGGTGATCGACCGGCTGTGACTAGCAAACTAGTGTAAAATGTGGTATTTTCGAGACTTCGAGACCTTGAGAGCATCTGAAACCCTGTTCCTGGCTCGCCGCAGAGAGACGTGACTTTCGAAAGCGCAAAGGAACTGGCACGCCAGAGTGTAGTCAAATGTAGTCCTTTTGGGTCCGACGCACCGCTTTGCATCAGGCACTGTCGCGCTTGTTGGGCTTGGCCTCGCCGTGCTTGCAGCGAGTTGGTCGCATTTAGGAACGTAGCCCACCTTCCCTGAAAATGGATTATTCGCATCCCCTACTATCGCCAGCTCCAGAAGTGGTGGCCGTGAAACCTGAGGCCACGGCCCTGATGGTCCGAAGGCACGCGGGAGTTATTTCTTGCCACCGTTTTAGGTTCGCGTCGGCCGGTGCATTTTCTGGTCAGGCAGTTGAAGAAGAGTTAAGAGGCGAAGACGCCCGTGTCACCGGAGAGTTTTCGTGCATTGTGCAGCCGGCGTCGTGTCGCCCTCTCGCAGCTTAAGCCTCAGAGCTCGGAGCCCGAAGACCAATGCTGTCTTCAGAATGGAAGCTTCACCAGCTTCACGACGCATGGTCGTAGAGCTGGCAAACCCGTTGTACAGTCTGTTCTGAGCTGCAAAAAATGTGTTCAGCACTTGCACCGGGAAGTTCAGTTCTTGCAAGAACCTTTTCTGCAGGAGGAAGACAAACGTCACCTTCGAAAGGCTCCGAGGGAATACAGTCCTCACCCTTCTCTCTCGACTATCTATGTACCCGGCTGCTCGAAACCGTTGTCGGAAGTCGTCTTAATCCTTAGATGCCCCCGTAGTCGTACAAGTGAATTTCATACATCCCTAAACCCCCCAAAAGCTATAACTAGTTATGGATTATATAATATGCTAGTGTAATAAGGACAATGCGAGATCGTATTCCTCTGGGTGATCTGAGCAGGCCGACTCCGAAAGGAAGAAGGCAGAAGAGAGTCTCAGGCTGGAATCCGAGAGCTCTTACTATTATCTGTACTTATAGGTATCATGATTAGTATTATTAGTATTGGCCACCGTGCCCTGGATTTTTTAGGGACTAGTATATGTATCATTCCAGTTATGTAATTAGTTTCCCATTTCTTAGATTACCAAGAAGAGGTGCTGTAAATCTTAGTCACGGGGTGGCCATAATAGCTAAGTTGCGATAAGGATTCGTAGAAAAGGCACTTTGCGGGCATATTGAGGTTTTGGGACTTTTCGGGGTTCAGGGCTCAAGGGTTTGGGGTCTTGTTAAAGGGGTTCATAGGTGTAGGGTTGTGCGGTTTTGGGTCGTGGGGTTTAGGGCATGGGTAACCTCAAAAGGGGATCTTGGAGGCAAGAGCTTAGCTGACGACAAGTCTTATGGTTGTGATGACTATGGTCCCGCCCTAATGGTGATTAGACTCACTGTCATGAACAGCATGATGGTCTGTTGCCGGAAACAGTCAGTTCCGAGGTACGGCTTCAGGCAGCCTTTATCGTACTCTTGTAGAAAGCTTTGTGGTAAACCCTTCCCAGTCTTGTCTTTGTAATCTTTGTAGTGACCTGTACAGTAACCCTTGTGGCAACCCTCGCAGTACCCATTTCTTTTTGTAATCCTAAACCCTAAGCATCCCTAAACCCTAAACTCAACCCATATACCCTAAACCATAAACCCAACCTGTATGCTGAATCCCATTCCGACGCCAGGTCTGAGCTGGAGAACCTGGGCAGAGACAAGCCAGGGACCCAACGTATCGACTGCGGGAGAGTTCCTTTTGCGATTCCTTTGACAATTTGAGGGCTTCTCCAAAGGTTCCTTGAAGGATTCCTTACAGGTTCCTTTTAGGGCTTCTTTCTGGGTTTCGTTAAGGGTTGCTGGTGGTGTATATCGGGAAGGGACATTCGTAGTTCTGAACGCAGGATGGAGCCCATTGCCCCCGCGTTCCTATCCGAACATACTATTCATAATTGATCCAACCCCGGCTCTCTATCTCTCTTCCCACAGGAATGCCTTGGAGCAGAAACTGATTGAAGCGGATCGCAAGCTGAAGGCTGGGCCAAGCATCTTCTATCTTTTCATTGTATTCTTGCTGTGGGTGTTTGGAGGGTTTCAGCTGCGTTGCTTCGAACGTCTTGCAGCTTGAAGGTGCTGCAGTTTGACAACGTGCAGCTGCAGGTGGGGCATACTATCATTACCATCATTAGCTGTTAGCAGTTCTAGCCGTTCTATCAATGGCATTATGATGCAGTCTCTATCGTGCCGTTCTATCAATACCATTATGATGCAAATTCAATCGTTATGACGTGTTTTCGTATATGCACGTTCATGATCAATGTCATTGCCTGTGTTAGCGGTTGCTTGCTTGGGGCAGGGTGGCGTTCCTAGGCCTGGGTTGTCAGCAGCGATCGAAGTAATCGAGATCAGGAGGTGCCCTTTGACCTCGCCTAAGTCTCTCGCCTGCTCAAGCTCCATTAGCTCATGGCCCGAGCTCCCATCACCCTGTCGGGCCGGTGATTAAATCATGTAACTGGGGATGCACTACTCATGCCAGACGGAAAGCCGGGTAAGGGTCCGTGTAAGACCTCTCAGAATCAGTTTTGTTAATTTCATCTTTATGGTGCCCCTTTGTCAGTTTTGTAACCAACAGATCCCTATAAAGCCTCATAATACAACCCTGTACAACCCTTCTAAAAGCTTTATCCGACGCATAGACCACCTATAAAACCCTTAAAGCCTTCTACAAGTTTGGGACAAAGCCTGTAAAACCCATGCAAAACCCTGTCAAACGCCTATAACCCCCCTGATAAAACCGCTGTGAAGCCCTAAAGGCCTATAAAACCCTTGACGGCAAGAATTACAAGAGCAATCGTGAGCAGGCTGAGGCCACCAGATCGCAGGAGTTCCACGGCCGCTTTGCACCCGTGGAACGCAGAAACTGCCATCGAGTTCTGGGTCTAGTAGTAGCAGTAGTAGCAGTA